GCTCGGCCACGTGTTACACATGCCAGCCCACCGACTCCTGCGACGTGCGCTGTTTGCGCGTCGGGGGTGTGGGTGGAAGAAGATGAGAGGTGGGCAAGCGATGACTTGGTCGAGAATATTGAATGCCCTCACTTCGGCGCTGGCCTCGGTTGGAGCGTATCGGCTCCTTGGTTGGGATCCGGAAGACGATGAACACGTTCGACTGGATACACTTGTTGATATGGCTAGGAACCGATCTCAGTGGCCTGGATGCTGTGAGTTTCTTTGTCCCACCCATCCATCTTAGCCTCCCCGTCCAACCGCGATCTCATTATTTAGCATTTTATAATTGCGTAGTCAATTATTTTTTGAACAACGAAATGAAAAGATGAATATTGGCAGATGCTAGCATTTCGTATTATCTCGTCAGTACCAATACAATAACAGGGAAATCCTTTTATATGTCTTACAGGGCACAGTCAAACCAATCAAATTTATTGCTGTGGTCATTGTTATCAGATTAGGTCCACGGCAACCGCAGGTTGACAACTAATTGCTTTTGGACACACAAAGCTGGTCTAATTCGGCTTGTCGCGACGGCCTCGGCAAATGGTAAAAGGCGTGCATTAGTGTGACGTAACAATATCCGGAAAGCTGATAAGGGATTGACCTGGTGACGAGTCGCCAAGCTGTGCCTGCCTATGGAGGACGCTGGGTTCAGCGTGAAGTTACCCAATCCACCTCCGATGATACGTGTTCGCGTAAGCCACCAGCGTCCTCCATAGGCAGGCACATCTTGGCGACTCGTCACCAGGTCAATCCCTTATCAGCTTTCCGGATCTTGTTACGTCATACGAATGCACGCCTTTTACCATTTGCCGAGGCCGTCGCGACAAGCCGAATTAGACCAGCTTTGTGTGTCCAAAAGCAATTAGTTGTCAACCTGCGGTTGCCGTGGACCTAATCTGATAACAATGACCACAGCAATAAATTTGATTGGTTTGACTGTGCCCTGTAAGACATATAAAAGGATTTCCCTGTTATTGTATTGGTACTGACGAGATAATACGAAATGCTAGCATCTGCCAATATTCGTCTTCTCATTTCGTTGTTCAAACTACTAAAGGGGACTAACTGTTTTGAATTATTTTTTATTCTGCTTCATAGTAGCCGGTAGGTAGCTTACCGAAACGATGCCCATCCGTTACCGGTAGCTCAGCTGGCTTGCACCTGTTGCATTTCATTCCCTTTTTTGCTTTATGTATTGCGGCACAGTAGCCGAGATGTTTCCCACCTCTAGCCAACGTGTATAGTGTGTGTATGTGCATGGGAGCATTAACCCACTTCTTCAGTACTAATGGTGAGAGTGTATCTGGACCACTAGTTTTGTTTGCCTTTAGTCCTCTGAGTTCCTTGTGAACCGCCTGGATTTATTTTGATTTAAGCTGTTTAAGTAAGTCAGGAGAGATGCACTTGTTGGAACTGCGTTAAACTCTTCTATGTCTGCTCCGGTGCTCTAGCTGTAGGCGCCTCAAAGGCATCCATAAATCACTTCAGTTATGGTTGTCTAGAACCACTTTACTGTACAAATTCCTTTACGTCCACGACAGAATTTGTGCCGTGATGAATGACCCACTAAGTTGTCTCACCATCCAAGAAATCTCACGGTAGCTATTTTTTCTAGAATTATCTGTTTTGAGATGTGGTTGAGTTGGTGCAGGCGCTTTGGGATGGGATAAGAATATTATAACCTGACTGTTTGGACTCTTTATCTCTTATGTAATTACCATGGTTAGACTGTTGATGCGAGTAATCAGTTAGCACTTGTAGGCTCGTTCTTCAGGAGTGGTGATGATCATTTCCCGCTCTTAGCTAAATCATTGCAACAGGACAACACAAGTCAAAACAATATTTAATGTAGTCTGTAAGGTGATCGCATTGAATCTTTAGTTAAGGTAGACATCGACGAAACCTTGTGATTTTTTCAACAAAGCTGTTTCACCGTTTGATACTCTGGAATGGACGTCTAGTCATTATATCGAAATTAGCTCTTCTGTATATGATGGGACAATTTAAAAACGCAGTGCTCAGGGATACTCAGGGAAGTCCGTTTTTATATGGAAAGCACTTCATGCACAACCTACAGCTGCGTGTCATGTCTGCTCCAAAAATGCACTAAATTTACCTAACCAATTGTCCTCAGGATTGCTGTATCCATTTTTATTAAAGTCACGAACAACAATGCAAATAGAACAACTAAGTTTCAGCCGTAGCACCGAAGAAAATGGTCCTAAAAAAGTTTCAAATCTGACGCAGATGTGTCCGAAGCCATCTAGACGTTTCCAACAATGAACGATTGAAAGCTATTTAAGAACTTCGGTTTGCGTTCATCTAAATGGCAGGTTATAAAAGTCGTTGAGTATTAATAGTACGGTTGCTGAATCGCACCAATGTTTGCTAACTTAGGCAATAACGCCTCCACCACGAAACTGGGACTTTCCAGGGCGCTCGGACCTGGCGGGAAAATCACCATTGTGTTGTGTAACTTCATCTTCCGCATCATTATGCAACCAGCTTTCTTCTAACAAAATGGTACCTCGATGCATAAGTGCTATGAGATCAACCATCACATGTAAGGACAATCACTTGAGTGCTCAGTGTTGGGACATCAGCTGCCATCCAATTACGAGCACGCGCGTATATTAACCTTTTTCGGTTACTAACTGGACTACAAACTCTTTTCGTCAATAGCACTGTGGGTCACTCTCTTTTCCCGTATCCTAGTTTGGCACCTTTCCAGTGTGGCTGGGCGGTGCTAACATGGCAACGGGACTAGATTCACATTCTTATCGCACGGTCCGTCCGCCCCATGGTGCTACGAGGCTCGCGAGCACGTAACGACCCATGAACCGCATCGCGCCACTTTTTTGCATGCATGCGTACTCACTGCACTGCATGCACATCTAATATCCTTTTGTTTGATCGGGCTTGGCTATTCAACGAGCTGTGCGCGTTTTAGTGCATGTGTCTACGGATAGAACCTACTGTTGGGAGTCTTGGGGACTATCTTTTGGGTGTTATGGATGAGCTAATTTGTGTAAGAGGGCATGTTAGTCTTATCGTGTTCGAACTCGATTGCCTAACGGGACCGTCTAGCCAACCAATGGTATGGGCGTCGGTAGTGCATTGGTCACTTTGGAGGGACAGATGTTAGCCATCTCGTCGATAGCGCGCTCTTCCACATACCTGGCATTGAGCCGACCCAGTTAATCCCATCATGTCACGGGGTGATCTTATTTGACTCATTAGTTATCTGAGCCGCGCTCATTACCCTTTATGGAAGAGAATTTGGCTTCTTGAGACCACTACCTACACCACGTATGTGATCGCCTGGTATTCGAGAGCTAGTTTATCCAGTTGCTACTTTCGAAAGAGTAGTGTTTGGGTTTACACAATTTCTCGTACTTTTAGGAAGGTTGGGGTATTTTTGGGAATAAGGTTAAATTTATTTTGTTTGTATGGGAGGGGTATAAGGGGAGGGGGAGTGGGATGAGGGGGAGGATTGTGGGGGGAGATAGGTGGGTAGGATTAAAAAAAAATTTTGGGGGGGGGGGGGGGGGGGGTTTTTTAGTTTTTGTAAAGAAAAGGGATGATATGTGGGGTTGGTTGGGGGGTGGGGGTGGGGTAAGAGATGTGAGTGTATGTTGTAAGAAGTGGGGTTGTTGGGGGGGGTGGTTATGTTGTGGGGGTGTGGTGGTGGGGGGTGGATAGGGGTGGTGTGGTTGGGGTGGGGTGTGGGTGGGTTGGGGGGGTGTGGTGTTGGTGTGGCGTGGGTTGGTGTGGGGGTGGTGGGGGTGTGTGGGGTGGTTGGTGGGGTGGGGGTGTGGTGGGTGGGGTGGTGGGGGGGGGTGGGGTGGGTGGGTGTTGGTGGGGGGGTGGGTGGGGGGTGTGGTGGGGTGGGTTGGGGGGGTGGGGGGGTGGGGGGGGTTGTGGTGGTGGTGGGGTTGGTTGGTGGTTTGTTGTTTGGGGTGTGGGTTGGGGGGGGGGTGGGTTGTGGTGGTTTGTGTGTGGGGTTTGGTTGTGAAGTTTTTTGATTTTTTGTTTGTGGTGTTGGTGGTGGGGGGGGGGAATGGAGGGTAGGGGATTGGGGAAATGGAAGATTGGGAGTAGGTAGATATTCACACTTAATGGATGACTGGTTTATCTACCTGACAATATTCCATTTCCTTAACCAGCGTTACTTCAAACCTAGCTTCTCACATATTGTTTAAACAGAGATATTATCCAAGTTTCGACTCTACTCGCCGTACTCAGTCGTTGTATCCCCTGAGGGCACATTCGGCTATCCATCCAAATCAGAACATCTTTTACTGGACCAACAAGCAAATGTCTTAATCGCTCACGCGGAGATTCCTCAAGTGTTGACCACTTCGTTGCGCCTGCAATGATAGAAACTCTCAACGCGTCCCTTTTACTGGACATTGTACACCTCGATCGCTGGTTCACGTTTTCAACTTATCCACCGTAAGCACAATGCAACATGTTAGCTTAGCACATGTATAGAGCTACTCAGGCCTTACGTTTTGAAATGGCGTTCAGCATGTATCCGGTTTGAATAGCTTGCACCGTGAATTCGATTAGCAGTCGGTGCAGGTATATTCTGTTCTGAAATACGCTCGATTTCATAGCGGTTGTTCTACTGCTTTCGACGATTTCATGTTGTTGCTACAGGGACTAACTATACGTCCACTTATTTCTATTATTTATGAATTGACAACTGGCAGTGGGTGCGTCATTGCCTAGTGGAATACTCGTTTAAGTGTACTACATTTTAGCGACTTCTCTTGCGGCCAATGCTAAGTTTACCTACCATTTTTCTACCCTAAAACTTCCACTTCTTCCACAGACTGTTACTACTTCGTTTGCCTGCTTTTTCTACTCGTTTCTTTATCGTGTCTTTTCTTAATTGGGTCCTACTTCATCCCGATTCTATTCAACCTATCTTTCCTTCCTATTTGCAGACAACGGACTCGAGAACTTACGTGCCACTTTTGAGCGCGCTCATCATTCTCTGCGGGAAAGTAAGTACTACCATCGATACTGTCATAATCCCAAAAATAAGCTTTTATTTCCTATTATTTGTCAGACCGGTTGCAGTTTTACCTATAATTCACTTTTTGCCTTCCTCAGTTAATCATTTCCATTCGTCCCGTGTATCAACTAATGGGTTTGTACCGTCAGTACTAAAGTTTATCATTATCCATAACTGCCTGAGTCCGCCGATGTCTTACGTTGGCGCTTACTGCCTTTGTTCCAATTGGATGCAAAAGAGCTCGCCGAACCATGAAACAATGAGCTGTCGTTCTAAGTCATGAAACCTGTGTCTTGGAACTTGGGTTTAGGTGCGATTCATCGGTCACCATGCCTAACCTTGTCTCATTTTCCTGTCATTGTTATCCCGTGTGTAGCGGCGCGAAAGCGTTTACGTCAACAACATGGAGGATGCTGCTAACATCCATGCATTTTGTTTAACTTCTCATTGGCCATTTAATCCGTCTGGATATTCTGTCAAACTGCCGATATTCTTCCTCTTATTGTCACCCACGTTTCTCCGCATGCGTTTTTCGGCTTTTGTTGCACCTAATACGATGAAATGTTTGAAGAAGCAAGTTTGCAGCCTTAGTCGGGTGTAGGTATTATCTGCCGTCTTTCTACATGCCGTTTTCAAGATAAACCAGCGGTTGGCAGCTCCATCCAGCTGTTAACCTCTGCAACCGATCAGCACAACCAGCTTTTTTGATCCCACATCCGTCACCTTTTTCTTCCCATTGAATCCCTCACCTTCTCTGTAACTTTTAATCGACCGGTTTCCAAAAAGATAAGGCACTTATCTCGTAACCGAATGTCACTAGTTTGTCTCTGCGTAGGTGGGGGCGTCATCACCGTGTACCCAGACCACGCGCTACCTGTGGTGGTTACGTGGCAGTGAAGTGTGGGTGCCGAATGCTGGCTGGTGGCTATTTTTCTTTTTTTGCCCCTTGCTTTTAACTTTTACTCACGGTAACGTAATTCCTACCAACTGAATCCACCATCATTTTGCAAGAAACCAAGGTGGAAACGGAGTTATTTTTTGTTGCTAATATTAACAACCATACACATCAGTTCTGACAGGCAAAACTTCCACCAATCCACTGACTCTCCTATTGGCTGCCTGGCGCATGCTGCTTCTTTATCCATTTCTACTGCACATGAGTCTACATCTCTCGAGCGTCCTTCCGCATATTCCGCATTTGCTCCGTTATCGTCTGGCTTTCTTGGTACTTGCATACCACTGACACTCGGCGCATCAGTATATTTTGGTCCACGACAATTTGTCGCTTTTTCACGATTATCTAACTGAGTTGGTCCGAGGTAGATGTAGACATTTTGTCATCTACTGTATTCTCCATTTAGATTTTTTGTAAACTAAAAATAGTTTTACTCCTGCGCCCTTGACTACACTGAACTTCTGCAGGTTTCAGAGTGTGTACTGTTCGCACTATCTTTAACCGTCGTGCACTGTTGGGGAAGTTAACTTATCAACGCTCCTTGTTTTGCTCGTTTATTTGTCCCGATATACAATTTGCTGTTGAATTTTACTCACCTTTTATCCCGTGAATACGATCGAATTTGGTACTGTATACCAAAATGGAGTTTGGGGTTTTAGGAACATCTGCGTGGTTTGCCCTAGATAACACTTTTTTCCCGCTGCAATACACATCGTAACAACAAATTACCTTGCGTTGTTTAGCCTCCTTTGTTTTTTCTCGCAGTTGGCTAGTTTCTCCATTTGGCCGCACACATAAGAACATCTTAACGAGACTGATCGTTCGGACATGCTAATAATCCTTTGTCTCTGTTTAGATGACAGAGCAAGAACTGCTCCTTTTCTAACCCACTGTTCTGAAAATCTAGCCAAGTATCCTTGCTCTCGTCTCCAACCAAGGCAGATAGCCACCAAATATTCGGACCTAAGCCTCAATTGCAGGCTAATGGATCAACTTGGTATTTTTTCTGTCGCATTTCAAAGAATTCTATTCTGCACCCTTCGTACTTTCAGTGTTCCACCACGAAGCCGATCCTGATGATACTCTTTACCAATTTCACGCCTTCGTTGAGGTTAGTGCTCCAGTTCATTTTTTAAAATTTCCTATTTACATAAACATTGTTCTGCACACAGGCGCTTCGTTGCTTCCGCCCATTGCGCTCCAAGAAACGGTTGTTGAGTACTTGTATTCCAAATTTGTAGAGAAGATTTTCTATAAAATTTTAGTACAAGTACTCAACAACCGTTTCTTGATTTGGACTGAATCAGAGTACAATGGCTACATCATACACCATGTAATCTTGAGCAATATTCTAATAACCAGATTTTGGTTTGCTTGATACTTTTAACGTGAACAGGAACCATCGTTCAACGAACCTTTATGAGGCTCGTTTCTAATCTTTTCTTACCAACCCTAGTTAGCTAGCTTAACCCGTGGTATATATACAGTAGAGTCACACGAAGGTTGTTCTTTTCTTCTATGGTTTATTATTATAGGTCAGTCCCTGAGTTTTTCCAACTTTCATCAGTTTGATTAATGCCTATGAACAGACAACCATGTTGTTATGCAGAACAGGAACAATTAAGGGGTGAGGACACTATTCTATTTAAGAGGACCAAAATGCCCCCTCTCATTTCACAATTGCATAGTTCTAGTTGTCAAGTTGACCGCGGCCCTGTTCAAAGTCAACTATCTTTCACACGAAGATCGTGCCACATCATCTGTCCGATTAACACCAACGAATTGCCTAATGCGTTTTTATAGTCGTCTTGTTTGACCGAATCCGATTAAGGAACGAACTGTCCCGTGCCAGTAGCTAGACCTTTAGTGCCTTACGTAGCATTACGCAGTATTGCGATGATTTACAAATAAACAACTAATTTAATGGGTATTTTCCCAGAAAGATGAGATTCTTTCTTGTTTGGAGAATGGTTGTATATCCGGGATTGCACATTTTACCACATCGCAAACCTAGGGGGAATTGGAAAATCTCTTCAGTCTATTGAAATGTCCGAATATATTGGCATTCATCCTGACATTCGTTTACTCGGTTCGTTTTTCTAATTTACAACGTAGTTTCTCGACATATCATTGATGTAATGTGGCTATTCAACGGACCAGCAAGCGCAAACTTTGTCGAATATGTCGCAGGAAGTAAATTAGGGTGCAAGTTGGCTCTTATGCTGTTTGGAAATAATTCCTTGACTACACTTATGGGTTGCTGAAGATCAAATTTCTTGATCACATTTGGCTTTGCTGGAAAAGTTCAAAAATGTGTTCTAACTGTAGTCAATTTATCCCTTACCAATAGTTACAACGTTACTTAAATAAATACCTATATAGTATCTCTCTCGATAAATTCGAGAATCAACTATTTATTTATTTAGTATGATCATTCTGTACTTCCTAATCAAATGGTAGAGGAAATGTTTGGGTTTTACGCAGCAGTTCCAAAAGATTTTGAGTGTTCTATCAATAACAGATAATAAAAGAACGCAAAGTAGAGAGAAGGAATATGTGTAGGTATAGCCAGCAGTTCAACTATAGTAATAAGACCATCCCACAGACGAGCGTACAGCACCAAGAAGAAGTTAAAGCGGATGCGCTATCCTAGCCTAATGCAATCTATTACGCCATTTTGTTGTATGAGGGCCTTGTTCGTTCTGATATTGTAGAGAAGAGCTCGATTATTGTTTAGTCGTCGCTGCTGTTGGTCTTTTCGGATGTGACAACATCGTTCCTTGAAGTTAAGTCTTGCTGAGAACCTCAGAATCGTTTTGTTGATTGAAAATTGGACGTCTTTCCAAGCATTTCCGTCTGCTTTGCTCACCTGGCGCTGAATGATTATGCATGACTCCCGTGTAGGTCGCATTCTGACTTTAAGGGATTCTAGTCGTGTTATCGGTAACGAAGACCTCAGTGACACGGATGATGTGACGCGCTACTAAATATAGTCGCTTGCTCTTGCCTATCTGGGTGATCTTGCCTACTTCAAGGATGTCAGTCATCCAATTCAAAATTTTTTGATCCCTTCTCACGCTAACAACCTGACCAAGCACAATCCCGAATGCAGCGTCACGTTTACAACTTACAACAACGCAGCTGCATGGTTAGTGACATCAGTTCCCGGTTTCGCCTATCACTATGGCCTCCATAGGACAGCCACAGGACGCCTGCGCCTACAGCGAGACCGTGGGTGGCTTGCGTTGCACCACCCACAACCCCATACACACACCCTATATTTAGTGTATACCCGAAAGGATAAGACCGGGAGGCTTGTGGATAGGAGCCACGTTTCAACAACGCAGCCGGCACACACTTCTTCATAGGCAAACACAAGGACGCTGTATTTGGGTAATTAAGCGCACTACAGCGCGAAATCCCAGTTTAGTTCACGGTTATCTTTGAAATAAGACCCGGTCATTCAGACCACTGAGGATACATTTGAAGTGAAGACCTTTGTGTCGCTGAAACTGGGCTCTTCGAGCGATTTCGTCATCTTTATAGACGCTTTTGATGTTGGTTAGGGCTCTAATTTGGCAAGTGGAAGTTACCGGTAGCCGCCTACCTTAATAGGTCATCTAGCTTTACAAGCAGAGCTTGTTGTAACGATTAAATGCGGTTGTTTTGCAATCGCCACTCGTATTCTGACGGTTTGATGGCAATCTCTACGTCCTTAATTATTTTACTTTTACTCTGTTGCCTCATGATAGTCGTATGGACATTTCACGAAATGTGACTTTAAAACACTACTGCGATTCATCAATCTCTGTTTTCGTAGTCGTATTACTAGGTTCATTTCCGGAAAGAGCTTACTTTTCCCCAATTTATATCCGCACCACTTGGTTTCCTGGCTCAAACAACCAAAGCTGTCTACGTCATGAAGGCTACAGTATCCACCTCACTCGTCCCAGCTGGTGACTGAAAGGCATCGTCGGCTTATTGACGCCGTCTGAAGTCTTTACTCACCAGTTGAACTGCCGATTACATATGCGCTCCTCAATGGACCGTCTATCTTTGAACTGCGTGTTTTATAGTTTGCACCCTCAGCTATCCCTCATTGCCACCCCTTGGCTCTTTTGAACAGGGTCTACTTTGCTGATCATACCCAACGGTGACTGTTCTGTTTCTTGTTTTGCGCTCCCCCTACGCACCAAAATGACTTACTTGTGCCCACCACCAGTTAGCTTTTCATGACTTGTGGCAACTTGATACCGCTGGATGCTGACGACCTCGCATTATCTCGAACTGCGTGCAAACCCCGGTGGTTGCGTGCAGGTACTGCTTTTTTTGAGCTGCCTACGATATTGTGAATTGCTCTTGCATTAAGCTACTCAGAATGCAGTTCTCAACAATAAGCATGCTTGAGTCAACTACAGCTATGCATAACTGATCATCATTTCGTCGCACTATGTGAAAGCAGAATTAGTTGTGTATGCTGGGGGATCAAAGATGAGGAACGCCGCTGGCTGGAAACTCCTTCGGAGATGGCACAGAACCGGGCGCAATGGAAAATGTGTACGAATATTTCTCTTGCTTCTCTTGATTTACATTGCAAATATTAAACAGATAAAAAGTAAAACGGCTTGTGAAAATATACAAAATTAACAAACAAGATTCAAAACAAAAATGCTGTTTTGTTAATTTTCTTCCTCTTTATGTCTCTGTATTTATTGCCACCACATCATGGTTTTCGCTCGCTCTAAGTCTATTTTATAGACTGTTGACTATATATATATATATATATATATATATATATATATATATATATATATATATATATATATATATATATATATATACTGCGGACCCGTCAAATATCCCCGCAAAAACGCGCCAAAAGCTCCGGCATAATGACTGTGAAAGCGGGGTCCAAAACCTCCCCACAACGTAGCAGTGTTCAGCCACTCCGAGACGCAGCGCAACTGTTGACAATGGCCAGTCTTCCAATCCGTTCTTGTAGGCGTGCTTCAATGGTGCTAGTGACAATCTTATCAGGTATCTACGCAATCATGACAGTGGCGACAGAGTTTACGAACCATGACTGACGAATACGCCGATTTAAAGCTTATGCTGCGGCAACAACTTAAGTTGATGTCCGTGCTGAGCAAAAAGTTCTCTAGTTCTTCCCTTCATGCAGGTCCAAGCGCTAATTCTGTCAGTGGACCATGTGGTTAGCGGCATCAGCGAATTTCTGTACGATGCCAAGGCCGAAATAACGTTTGAATCTTGGTATAAGCGGTACGAGGACTTCTTCGCCGTTGACTTGGCTTGCCACGATGACGCGTGGAAGGTCTGGCTGCTTCTGCGCAAACTTAGTACGCTCGAACATCAACGTTACACCAATATCATCTTGCAAAGGAACCCACGCGACGTTACCTTTGACGAGACAGTCCGAATGTTGTCACAGATTTTTGGCGAGCAGTCCTCTCTGTTTATTGCTCGTTATCAGCGTCTGCAGCTGGCCAAGCATGATGCCGACTACTTCGTCACTTACGCGGCGGGGTCAACCGTGAATACCAAGGTTTTTAACTTGGCTCGCTCACCGAGGACCAGTTCAAATGCCTGATTTTCGTCTCTGGCCTCCAGTCTCCACACGATGCCGATATCCGGACGCGCCTTCTGTCCAAGCTACAACTGGATAGCTCAGTCACACTCCAGAACCTGGCCGAGGAGTGTCAAACGCTGCTCAACCTGAAGCACGATTCTGCCATGACCCAGAACGCCGCCGCACTTGGTATGGTCCAGGTGGTCACAGAACCGAGGGCGCAATCCTCCGCGCGCCCCACCCAATCCGACAGAACGAAGTCCCCACCTTACGCGTGCGGATTCTGTGCTGCCTGGCATTTCCACCGGGACTGCAAGTTCCGCCAGCATCGTTGTCAACGTTGTGCCAGAGTGGGCACCGGGATGGTTACTGCCACCCCACATCTCCCAAGGGGGCTAAAACTGGGCTGGCCCCCACCTGCGATCCAAAGAAGAGGTCCCGACCCAGACACACCCAAACCTGGTCGGTTGGCAGCTTCCTGAGCCTGATGGCCGCGTTCCATATCAACGCTGCGGATCGGAGAA